GATTGCATACTTAACCTTCGGGTTTCTGAATCTTAACCTTCGGGCTCCTATTTTTTAAACCTTCGGGTTTTGTATGAGAAGATTATAATTCTTCTACTACTGTATTATCCTGTTCTGCAACAATGACAGAATCTAACATCTCTTTTACTATTACTACTACCCCTATTACTGCTGAGATCTCTGCTCCCAAAGTTGTGTATTGAGGATCACGGTGAAGCTAAATGACACCAACTATCTACTTTGGGCACAAGCCTCCTTCCGCATCTTCATTGGTGCTCAGAACAAATTGGCTCATCTTTTGGCCCCACCTCCTGCATCTACAGATCCTACGTATCCCGTATGGATCTCTGCTGACTGTTGTATGATGACTTGGCTTCTTAATAGCATGGAAGCTCAGATCAGTAGCAGTGTCATGTTCTCGAACACTGCTAAGAAGATGTGGGATAATTTAAAAACTATGTACAGGAATGAGAAATATGCATCTCGTGTTTTCGAGTTGTATGAACATCTTTTCTCTCTTCAACAGGGCGATCGCTCTATACCCGAGTACTTTGATGAGCTAAAAAGTCTGATCAATGAATTAGAGATGCATCAGCCCACCGTTACGGATACACCAACATTATTGCCATATCGTAGGGACCTTACGGTATCCAAGTTCTTGTCAGGTCTGAGTCCCACTTTGCAGTCTCAGATATAGGGCTAAATACTCGAGGGAGATACTATCCCTTCCTTAACTGTTACACTCTCCAGAGTTATGTAGGTAACTACTAGAGTGACTACTACATCTCTCACACCGTCCGCTCCATCATTTGACCAGTCTGCTATGTTTTCCGAACGTATCAGAGGTCGTGGTCGTGGTCGAGGACGTGACCGCGACACAGGGGGAGGACGTGGCACCTTTGGTGGGAAACAGGTTGACTCAAATAAGACTCTGCGTCAGTGCAGACATTATGGAAAAACTAATCATATCTCCGAGAAGTGTTGAGAGAAGTTTGGTCGTCCTGCATAGACCCTGATTGCTGATCTTACACCTACCTCTGTTGATTCTCCGACAACTAGTTTTGCTCCCTCCACGGTTCAGATTTCTCAAGTTGAGTATGATCGGTTGCGTCAACTCGAGTCCTCTCAGAATAGTTATTCTGCTACTCATGCATTCTCTTCAGGTATGAATGCCTACATTGCCTCTCCTCACAGGCCATGGGTATTAGATTCTGGTGTCTCTTCTCATATGACAGGTATAAATGATCACTTTGTTTCTTTAAAACTTTCTGACAAGTTTCCATCGGTCCGCATTGCTGATGGTACATACTCTTCGGTTCTTGGTGATGAAGTAGTCCATGTTACTTCATCACTAACTCTTACTGATGTCTTATATCTTCTAAAATTTCTTGTCAACTTATTGTCAGTTCACCAAACACAACTGTAAAGTAACATTCTTTTCTTCTTATTGTGTTTTTCAGGACCTAGCAACTGGGATGAAGAATGGTTCGGGGCATGAGAGAGGAGACATGTACTATTTGGACGATAATATGCCTGCTACTGGTCTTGTTACAGATAAGTCTAATAATCCTTTACTATAGCATCAACGCTTTAGTCATCCCTTGTATCAAAGCTTAGGTCTGTCATTCCTATCCAGTCTTCTATTTTTTTCTTTAGGTTGTGAGTCTTCTGAACTGGGTAAGCACCATCGTGCTACCTATCCGAGTCGTATTGATAAACACAGCAGTTCTGCGTTTGAGTTAGTCCATTCTGATGTTTGGGGTCCGTGTCGTATACCTTCCGTGAAAGGTTATAGATATTTTCTTGTCTTTATTAATGATTTCTCTCGCATGACTTGGCTTTATCTATTAAAAGAGAGATCTGAGGTTTCAACCATTTTCAAAATATTTTACAAAGAAATCAAAAACCATTTTCCCACCTCTATTCGTATCCTTCGTACCGATAATGCTTTGAAATACATGAAAATGACATCTCCTATTTTTGTGCAAATATTGGTATTATCCATCAAGCTTCATGTTCTTACACTTCACAACAAAATAAAGTTGTTGAGAGGAAGCATAGACACATTTTAGATGTTGTTAGAACCCTGATGATATATATGAATGTTCTAAAATATTTATGGTTTGATGCTGTTCTCAGTGCATGTTTCCTGATCAATAGGATACTCTCATCTGTTCTTAATGGTAAAATACCGTTCACCTGTCTTTATCTTGACAAAAAGACTTTTCCTATAGCTCCTCATGTTTTTTGTTGTACTTGTTTTGTTCAGAATTTATCTCCAGGACTAAATAAATTGTCTTCACGATCTATTAAGCATGTCTTTGTAGGCTACTCGCATACTCAAAAAGGTTATCGGTGATATAATCCAACTGCTAGGAGATATTTTGTGTTCATAAATGTAACTTTTTTTGAGTCTGTTCCATACTTCTGTTCGACTGGTTCATCTCCAACTGTCAATCCATCTGTGCCTCTTCCATCTATTGCTCCTACTATTGTTCCATTGCCTACTTCTGTTCCTTCTACTGATGGATCTTCTTTAGGATTATAAAATGCCTCTACTGTGTCATCTGCACCACCGCCACTATTGACGTATTGTCGACGTCCAAAAGTTCATGTGCCTCTCTTTCTGCTCCAGTCGAACAATCATCTCCCGTTGCAGGTCTGTCTCCTTCTAATATTTCTATTTCATCTGATCTGGATATTCCAATTGTTCATCGAAAAGGTAAACGGTCTTGTACTAATCATCCTATATCTGATTTTGTTTCTTATGACCGTCTTACTCCCTCTTCATGTTAGTTTGCCTTGTCCTTGTCCTCTATATCTCTACCCATGTCCTATGAGGAGGCCGTGTTAGTTCTTACTTGGAAACAGACCATGGATGAGGAGATGGATGCACTTGTTTCTAGAGGAACTTTGGATCTTGTACCCTTTCCGACGGGTGCTATTGTGGTTGGCTGCCGGTGGGTTTATACCTTGAAGTATCACACAGATGGTTCGGTTGATCGATATAAAGCTCGTTTTGTTGCTAAAGATTATACTCAAACCTATGGGGTCAACTATCTTGAGACATTCTCTCCCGTTGACCGTCTCAATTCTATTCGTCTACTTTTCTCTATAGCTGTTAATCTGAACTGGATAATATTTCAGTTGGATGTTAAAAAACCTTCCTGTATGGTGACTTGCAGGAGAAAGTCTATATAGAGCAACCTCCAGGGTATGTTGCTCAGGGGAAGAATATTGTCTGCAAGTTTAAAAATACAATTTATGATCTCAAACAGAGTCCACGAGCATGGTTTGAAAATTTTAGTACTGATATATCTGGTGTCGGTTTTAAACGGTGTCAGTCTGATCACTCCGTCTTTATCAGGCGCACTACATCTGGTTTGGTGATTCTGACAGTATATGTTAATGACATCCTACTAACTGGGAGTGACCTTGCTGTCTTAGCATAGACTAAGGAGTATCTTTCACGTCATTTTGTGACCAAAGATATGAGAAAACCCAAATACTTTCTTGAGATTGAGATTGCATATCAAAAGGACTGTTTGCTTCTATCTCAAATGAAATATGTATTGAATTTATTAAAAGAAATGGGCCTTTTGGGGTGTAAGCCAACAAACACTCCCATGGAAATGAATGTGGATTTGTGGCGTGATAATAATCCTCTCCTAGATGATGCAGGTCGATGTAGAAGATTGATTTAATAATCCTCTCCTAGATGATGCAGGTCGATGTAGGAGATTAATTGACAAGTTGATCTATCTTACTGTGACCAGACCTGATATTACCTTTGCAGTGGGAGTACTGAGCAGGTTTATGCATAAACCTAGAGAGGTCCACTGGACCGCTGCTCTGAGAATTTTAGCTTATGTTAAAAATTATCCTGAATAAAGGATTACTGTATAAAAAACATGGACATTTACACATCTTTTCCTATTCTGATGCTGGGTATGCGGAAAACATAGGAGATAGAAAGTCTACTTCGGGATTTTGCACCTTTATTAGAGCAAATCTGGTTACTTGGAGGAGCAAGAAAAAAGATGTAATATCTCGATCTAGTGCTGATGTAGAATACATAGCTATGGCTCACACTGTTTGTGAGATGATATGGTTACAGAAGCTGCTGACTGAGCTTGGTTTTATTCAGCCTGGATCTATGCCTATGCATTGTGATAACCAATCAGCTATCCATATTGCAAAGAATCCAGTGTTTCATAAGATAATTAAGCACATTGAAGTTGATTGTAATTTTGTTAGAGATGCTTGGAAAAAGAAAATGATCTCTCTTCAGTTCACTCCGTCTTCAGAACAGTTAGCTGACATTCTCACTACAGCTACTTCACCTAAGGTGCTTTTCATTCTGTGTAACAAGCTGATCATGATTGATATATATGCTCCAGATTGAGGGTGAGTGTTAGAATTAAGTATTGGGTTATCGAGTTAAGACCTAATAACATATTACCCATTTGTACTCCTATATATTTGGACCTATGAGGAGAAACCCTACACAATTTTCTGATTTCACCATTTCAACAATCTTGTAGGATTTTATTATGTCACTCCTATAATTTCTTACATTGTTTGCAAAGTAAGTGAGGAAATTTGTGAGATAGTTGTTCATAGATATAATTTTTGGATTATCAACGGTTAATAGAAGATAATGCTTGTATCATGTTGTCCTTTTTTCTCTTTTGAAATTTATTTTTAATAGAGATCATGCTGTTATTTTAAAATTGGCTTTTGAAAAATTAGATATGCATTCTTTGTCTATGAGTTTATTGTCTATGAGTTTACTTTTGAGATAATTTCAATGTTCGATTACATTATTGACATTATTTCAAGAAAATTAACACAATTGACTTTATTAGTTATGTCAAAAGCCATGGGTCTTAAATACTTATTTGAGCAAATCTTGTGCGCATCTAGTTACATTTTACCTACATGTTGTATTCAACCACTTTGCAAGTCTATAATTTTACTCTTCAACATCTTGGACAGCAAAAGCTCATTTCTGTTCGAGTGTATGGTGCCTTCAGCTTTTGTCTCTATCAATTGTTGCTAGCTTTTTTTCGTATTATTTGTAAACTTATCTGCATTTCCTTTTTTTTATATATATTAACAGATAGTAATTCGAAGTGTGTTCTCGTTATCTTCTCAATTATTTTCCAACTATAAATAAAAGTATGAATTTTGTTCAATACTAAGGACTTTAGATTATATCATGGAATCTGTGATTCAAGTTTCCAGTTCAAGAGAGTGTTGCTCAAAGTAGCAATCAACCTCTGTTTTCTTTCTCTATTCAGCTGAAATAGCAAAGAACTGAGATTTGTAAGCAAATCTTTAAGTAGCTTTGGTTTAATTTTAAAGGTCTGCTAAGACAATAAAAAAAAACACAATGGAATATATGTCATTTTCTAACCTTTTATGACTCAGTATCTTTTCCATGGACCTTTGTACTGAAGGTACTAGTACATTTGCTCATAATTTATGTGATCTGTGCGTGCACCTTCATATATATTTCCCTTGTATGCCAGGGTGTTTAAGGGAAGCAACAGCATTGAATGTATGCAAAAGAAATCAAGATAATTTATTGACATAATATTAGACAAAAAAAAAAGAGAGATTTGGGTAAAACTTACTGCAGATGTTTGAATAATCAAAAGAGAGATATGAAGAAAAGATACAGGTCCATAGATGTTCAACCAGAAAGTTATTTCGCTTTGGTATAAGTAAAGATAGCTAAGATTAAAAAACATGCTTTCCTTCATATACAGTCTCTAATTGAAGAAATAGAATAAATACTCTGTAAACAAAGCCGTAGCAGCAGTGGTAAAAATGACGCCAGCAACAACAACATAAACTCATCAGATGCTGAGAATATATATATATATAGACACGCACCTAAGGCGTTGTGCAGAAACATAATCAGCTGCCGAGAATGATCGGAAAAGTGCCAAGCTAATTCGAGTATCAAATGTTAGTTCAGAACCTCTCCTGCAGTAAAACGTAACTTAAAGAGTGAAAATAAGTTAAAACCATGATACTAAAATTTAATTATGATGCAAACAAGGCAGTGAAAGACATAACAGAAGATGAACAAAAGAGGTCTTCCCACCAAATGTGTTTTCTTACCCATCCTCAATATCAGGGTTCAAAGCACACATTGTTTCAGAGCCAATAGAAACAAGATGGGCAGTTCGCATTTCCTGAAGCTCTGGCAATATTATCTCTATTGTCTTGGGAGAAAAAAAATTTAATACATAAGTATTTCATTAAGAGAAATATGCACAATGCTCTTCCTTACGAGTAAACCATATTGAACATAATATACTTAGGAAGCATGAAGTATATCTGGTGATAGACTTACATTACACCCAAAGGTATCTGAAAGCAGATTCAGAGCATCCTCACATTTGGTGGAGATATCAGGACAGGAAACATCATTAAACCACTACAGAGCATAACAGTGTCAATACAAACTTACTGATGACATGACGACAATCTGCATATTGGATGAAATATAATTACTATTCAACTCTATAATCCATACCTCTGTGTATTTTCCAAGTCGCAATGATCTCAGGACATCTAAATTATAGGATGAGGACAAATTTGGCAAACAGAGGGGTAACTGCAAAATCAAGGATGACTATAATAATCTCTGGAGTAGTTTATATGTAAGAATCAATCATAGAGGATAAGAAAGAATAGTACACAAAAGCCAGTCACACCAAGTTTTCGGAAAACTCGTGATTCATGTACTAGGTTATAAAACTTCATTGTTCTCTCAGAATAACAGGTTTCAGTTTGAAATAACCAGAAAGCAGTGCATGAAATAGATGAGAAATATTAAGAAGCAATGTTTTTGAACCAGACATGAAATACATCATTTGCAAAATGTACAGAAAAAGAGTTGTAGCATATATAGATAAACATAAAAGATGGGAAAGGCTGTTTTATTTGTGCAGTGAGAGGAATCCAGCATGATATGAGGAAAAAGTGAAAGGGCAAAGGGGTGAGTGAAAAATTGAAAAGTGAAGATGCTTACACATTCAATAAAAAAGTGAAGAGTGTGGGGTATCATGCAGCGGATTTAAGCTGAGCAGCATGGGAGGTGAGGCCTGCAGGAGAGAGTGGGTCAGGCAGGCACGGCAAAGAGAGGAAGAGAAAAATAGAGGGTAGAGCAGTGGGAGAGGAAGATTGGACTGGGTTTAGGGCTTGGATTGAGGAAACATAACCTTCTATTATATCAAGTTGTGTTGGGAAAAGTGATTGCTAGACCTTTCTTGTAGAGGTTATGTTCTAGACACTTTCCAAGTGTCAGATAATTTGGTGGCATCTTGCTTACAACATAAATAATTACACGACCAATAAGGTTGGATTTTCTGTCTGCTACCTACCCTGCTAGGTTGTATGGTAAGACCTATTATCCATATTTCCTTTAGCCAGAAGTGGTACAAATTTAGCTGTTAGATGTTGGATAGCAGCCCACCTTAAAATATAATCAAACATTTCAAGAAGCCCTGTAGTCCATAATCGAACATGATGATGACATGTCAATGAAATTCTATTCCATACTTATTTGGAATCATGAGGTCCATGACCATTTTTCTCTAGATACATGGTAAAAGTGACTAGTGTGTGTGGAGTACAAAATTGCAGGTTCCATCTCAGGCATATGTCACCTCTGAAAAATGTTTTCAAGGATTCTAAGCCTTTCTCCTCAGGTGTTAAAATCAACATTTTTGGTAATGGGTCTATCCGTAGGTTTCGGTTGGATGCTTGCCTCAGGGATACTTCAGTATACCAAATCATTTCCAAGCTCTTTACTTTTGCCCTTTAGCTATTGGCCATAGTGGATAGGCAAAAAGATCAAATCAGCAATCATGAGATCTGGCTAAATTCATTCCAAAGATGGTCCCCTCTGCACCTCATTCATCATTTGTACTCTCCTTGATCTCCTCAGTAGCAATTATTGTTCTGAAAGCTAAGCTGTGAAAACATGTGTAACTGGAAATGAGAAATTTTTTGCCGAAACACTATATAGAGGATCAGAGGCTTTCAGGTACCCAAGACCTTTCCTCTCCATTGTTTGGATTGTGTTGGTAACTTTTAAGATTAGAATCCATGTGTGACTCCTCATTAAAAACGAAAAAGGAAAAAAAACAACACCATCCCTTTCTCCATCGCCAATTATCCACACTGTTCTCTTTCTCTCAATAACAGCTATGCAATCAACTCTCAGTCGACCTTCAAGACAAATCCTATGGACACTGATTCTCAAACAAGTGAGAATACACTTCTGTCACCATACGTTATATTATTAAGCATGAACATGACAAGAATATCTTCAACTCCAAGGAGTCTTCTGAGGGACAAGAATGTTTTCAACTCCAAGGAGTCTTCTGAGGTAGAGCTTCACCAAAAACAGCACACAACTGTCAGCTTCCGAATGAGGGTCCACCTTTTCATAGGAGTAGAGTCCTTTCCTAGATTCTATATGCTATCTACTTTACTGTGTACCAACACAAAAAAAGAAAACAAACAAAAAAACAACAACTTGTGACTCTTTTTAATAAATTTCAGTGCTATTTCCTTCAGAAAAGCATATGAACTATGAAGAGAATATAGATTGTATGGGCATGCAATCACTGCAGAGATACACTGAATAAGAAAAAAAAGCAGCTTTAGAGACTTGGCCAAGCATATTGTACCAAATCTCTAATCAAATTAGACCCAAAATATACAAAAACATTCTCCTCCCTGTCCATGATCACAAAGTCTTGACAATGTGCAGCCTTTTCTACCAACGTCAGTACTTGGATTTCGAGAATCAAAGCACAGAGATCAGATTAACTATTGCATGTTTTGAAGTTCTGACATAGAGCTTTCTCAGTATAGAGTTATCATCCATAAGCTAATCATTTTTTTATGGAAAATGAAGACAATAGTAGCATAAGTAATGAAGGGTCTAATAAATTAATATTTTTTTTAATAACAATGTCACAAAATTCCATGCATCTTTATGAAGAATATAAGATGGGAAATTACCGGGTTTAAACTGATTCTATCATCTGCAGAGGAGCCCGCTATTGCAGCATACCTGAGAATATTCAGCTTCTTTATAATGATAACCAACAAATTTCAACTAGAAATAATCATACTTGGAGAAAGCTACATATAAACTCTGCATAGGCAAACATGTTTAAGAGTGTAGAACTGTAGAAGTCCCATTTTCTCAGACCTATAAGAATCACGCCCCCATCAAATACAAATGAGCCTCCGCTTAAGTTCATGAAGTCAAAATTGACAAACTAAATGTGACGTTGATGGATCAGAATGACTGAATATATAAACTTCTAGAGAAAGGGGTAAAAAGGAAAGACACCAGATGCAAAGGAGACTTCAGCTCAATCTTGAAAAAGTGCAATTGTATCATTAGTGTTGTATATGAACATGCCAATATGCATCACCCTGCGATGATATTATTTTTCCTATTCGGTCTTGTTATTTTTTCTGTTTGGTCTTGTATCAGCCTGAACATCACTGAGTTCCTTCATAAAAAACCCAGGTGAAACTGCAAAAAGGTTTCCATTTAGGTCTGCACAGGGATATCAGGAAGGCAGCCTCCCATGACCAGAAACGAGTTCAGAAGCATAGATAGACACTGAAAAAAGCGCTCTGCGGAACCTGCCAACTGGGCAAATCTATTTACTTTAGGTTCAGATAAGTTGCATTTTCCCTTCAAATATTTAACTTATGAAATACTAGATCCCACAAAGATCCTTACAAATAAAGGGTCCTTAACAGATGGCGCAAAGAACTCATTTAACCCACGTAAAGAATTTCCTATGCATAAACAAACCCTCCAAAAGGAAGAAGATAAACCAAAGAATAGAAACAAATAACAAGAAACACCGAACAAATACCTACTCAAGAGCGAACATGATGCAACAAAATCAAAGAATGTGAAAGAAATTAGAATGTGAAAGAAATTCTTACACCAGCATGATATCTTCAACCGTCGCTGCAAGCGGAGAGACAACTTCTACAGTACCACAATCACATAATGACCTACAAATGGTTAGAACATAGAAGATCACGAATCACAGTTGATAAGTAACGATGTCAATCCCTACTTCAATGTGTAGTACCTTCATTTCACTTGATAAAAGTATTAATGAGTCATTCCGATTAAACTTGATTATACGTTCAATCTTAAGACAGACAAGTTATTAGCTGCGACGATAACATAACATGTTTATCCTGACTATGATTTACGTGTAAAAACTAGTGATGGCAAATGGGTCTTACACTTTTCAGATTATTAAAATACCTAAAAAGTGATTCTTCAATCTCTATGATAAATTACCTCAATGGAGAAAACAATGGGTTCCCTATAGACTCTGCTTAACTTCTTCATGTTATTTAGAAAGATCGTTATTGGGTATACATGTCGAGTAAAACTTTTGCACTATTACAGACCCTAAGAATTTGGAAAAAGATTTTGTTGCTTAATTTTTATTATTCTAATTGTAACTCCAAATAGATGTCTTTAAAGTTTCTCCCTTGGGTGCTTGCAAGCCCTCATGCTATGAATTCTATAGTTTCCCAGCATGCAAAGATTATGCTGTTTAAAGAATATGTTTTTTCTTCTCATTTTGCACATAGAAGCAAGGAGTTTTCTGTCAAGTCTTTTGTTTTCTTTCTGCTTTTCTCTATCCATCTTTTTCTTCCAATGATAAATGATTAAGGATTTATCATATGATAGTCTCATCTGACTCCCACCTCCAAGTACTTGAGTAAATGGTTTCTGTTTGATCTGTTATCCTTCTCATTTTTTAGATGTAAAGTTTTGTTTTACATCTTAATCCTTTTGCTAGCATCGAAAACACTAAGCTCGCCCTTTCTTCACTTACTTTAACCATGCAGACTAGTCATCTAGCCAGCCAGATCAGAAAACGTACACTTATTGTTTTTTTTTCCTTTTAACATTCTTTAATTGTATACTTTACGTTTTAATTTTGTAATTTAACAATTAAAAAAATGAAGCTTTTTTACCTTTGCTTTCTGATTTTTCCATATGTTTTCACCATTTTAAAGCATCACTCAAAACATGCAGGGAAAAAAGTATGTGGTCATCGCTCAGGAAATAGCCTGTAACATGTCCATAACAAGCTAATATAATATCCCAAAAAAGCATTCTAATGGCATCACAACTACTAACCTCAAAACAAACTGTAAACCATTCATCAGAATAATTCTCTCTTCTCACAGCCAAAGCCAAAAGTCTGGGGTAAAAGACTTGCAGAGTCATCCACACCCGCCCACCCCAAAACCTTCTCCCAGATGCACTTGCTTAGCCACCCAGACCCCAAATGTTTTGGGTTGGATACATGAATCACTTTTCTTCCATTCAGTCTTGTAAAGCAGTAATTCTCACATCCTTTTTGAATGCATCCATACATGTTTATTGAATGTACCTCTAGCCTTTGCTGCTCCATAATCTATGATCCTTGATTCTCAATGGGTGCATTTACTGGTGTCCTTTGCGCATGCTTAAACCATATCAGCAAGTTCTCCTTTCTTTATCATACATTCATACATGCACAAGTATGCCATTAAACATTCCAACTACTTACCAGCACTTCACTAAGCATAAAGTATTCTTATGATCTACGGCTCAAAAATAGACAAGCAAGTAAAATATAGATTCACATGTTAAGAGGTTAGACCACAATAGCATACACTAGAGATTTACGATACTGCATTTATGAAGGCTCCTCTCTATTGCACTATGCATATATTTTATACTTGTTGGTCTTAAATCTATGACATCTGAAGGTTATTTTCAACTACTTCCCCCTTATATAACATGTTTACAGAAAAAACATCTTCCATTGCATGCAGAATATTATCAATGGAATATAAATGTATTTTTGGAATATATATGTATATAAATATAATGTCATTAGTGATGATATTTCGCTTTGAAAGGGCTGAAGGCAAAAAGTTCGTTTAAAAAAAATAGTACCCTTCCATGTCTATCCTTGCATACGTTGCTTTCAAGCCAACAACACCACAAAGTGAAGATGGAATCCGAACTGAGCCTGCCTTAACAAATAAAATGAGTAATGTTCTCGAATATCAAACCAAGCATATGGAATAAAGATTTGCTACTACCTCCACCATCTGTTCCTAATGCAGCTGAGCATAATCCAGAAGCTATAAGTGCCGCTGGACCAGAGGAAGATCCTCCAGTGTATCTGTCAAGTGAGTGTGGATTTCCTGTCGTCCTGTGAGGAAATCCAAAATGGTAATTTTAGTCCACAAGTACAAAGAAGAGCAAGTTAAATATAAAGAATGATCAAAATTGCAAGTTATTACAAGGAGTTATGTAGTATCTTAAGAAAGAAACTAATACAGGCTGAGAGAAGGACAAACAATTATAATATGCAAGGAAGAGATTTTATGCTCAGTCCCTCTCCCTCCACTGGGTGAGAGTTTGAAATCTCAACCCAAGTTCCTTAAAACAAATTGAAATGATTAAAAAATGGACCTACAAATAAATAACATGTATGCAAGGAAGATTATATTATCTCTATGTCAGAGCTTCTAATAAGTTAAGACACCACTGAGAGGTCAACAATGACAAAACAAGACAAAATCAAGTTCTGATGCTAGAATACAGTAACATCAGCACATTACATACTACAGAAATAGCAGAAAAATTCCATCCAAATAACATGTCATATTATGAATCAAAAGTGTCACTTGTCATCTCCCCAAGAAAGGAGTCAATTTTGGTATTATTCCCGTCAGCTCATGTTTAATCCAGAGTGTTTTTTTCATGGTTCTTCCAAAATAGATGCTAGCTGCAATATTCCCTTTATGAGAATACCAGAGAACTAATTTGAGTGTGTCCCATCTCAGACTATTGTTGGCGCAATTTGCAGTGCAGTAACAAAAGATTACAAGGCCATGTCAGGATCTAGAGTCCCAGCCCCAACCACACTCGTGTGTGTTATGGGACTTAGGAATGTACATTTTGCTTGGCGTAGGCTCTATAGCCATTTGTCATGGCTCAAGCATGGACTTTCCAGGTTGTCCCCACCGCTGACTGATCCATACCAAGCATACTTAACCATGAAGTCTTGGCACGTTCCTTCCTCTAAACTGCAAGTTATATGGGCATATATTTGTGTGTGTGTGTGTGTGTGTGTGTGTGTGTGCATGTGTGTGTGTTGTGTATTGCTTTACAGTTCTGTAAATCAAATTTAGAGTCTAGTTTCACCAAATAAACTACATACAGGTCACCGTTGTGAATGATTCACAATGTTCATATTGATCTACACAACGAACTATGAGTTTTCAGGACTTCCAATATATTCATCTGATCATTGATGGCTAAAATGCATGGATATGTAGTATAGAACAAAGAAACCGTTTCATGTACAATTCAGGAGTATCCTGTAAAACATAATGTTTATCAATAACCTTTTCATAATAACTAAATCAAAATAAATGGTGTAGACCATTCACAGGAGTCGGGAATGGCCTGTATGATGGGAGTTTGGCAGATGATAACAGGCGTGAAATCTATTTCTAGGGAACTATAAAGAACTATATGTAAATAAGAATAAATGGTGAAGATCATTTAAAGGAGTGGCCTGCCATATGGTTGGCAGTTTAACATATGAGAACTGAGATTTAATTTATTTCTAGGGAACGAAAAAAATATTTGGGAAAGAACAAGACGCGGTCACAAAGAATGTTTGTTTCCGGATTCACAATGGTAGTAACAAGACTCACATATGAAATCACTAGACATACGGATAATCAAAGTTTATACTATCTAGCTTCAAAATTAGAGGAAAGTGATATGCAGAGTGGATTCTAATATATGCCTAAAACATTTGAATTGACAAACTCCACCTACACAAATGTTGAGTTTCACAAACCGTCAGACCATAGGGAATCACTTAGGAGAATGTATTCAGACGAAATAAAATTAAAGAAACACACCAAAAGAAGAAGAAAAAAAGTATCTTACCCGTAATTTGGATTGTTTCCAGTAGTTCCCATACCCAATTCATGCATATTAGCCTTCCCTATAAAAACTACACCACACCTTCGTAGCCGGGAGACACAAATTGCATCTTGTTCGACAGCACGGATATTGTGAAACCATGTGGTAGCACCTGAAACTCAGAGGTTTCCAACTTTAAACAAATCTAAATATAGAAGAAGAAGAAATCATGTCTCAAAATATAAGGGAGGAAGTTCTGGTCTCACCCTTTGATGGATAAGGAAAGCAATCTATGTCATCTTTAATGGCCATAAATATGCCATCTAGGACGGACAAAGGATTTCCTGTGTACCAGATGTATGTTACCTTATTGCATAATCTGCGAATGGATCTTAGAAACACAAATCATATAGGCATAGACCAAAATTAAAACTGCTCACGCACTGACGGTACCTTCTAAAAATCTTTGCGTAGAAGCTGCAGCATGTTTCCTCACGTCCTCTGCACTGAAGGAGATTAATAACGGCATGGAAGGCCTCTTTGTGTTGGACTCTTCCACGGCTGAAATGATATGTTCCGCGACCTAGAGGGAAAAGAGTTCTCTTGATTGACTGACATGATGCATAAGAAGAACTTTTCACAAGGGCCAGCAACTTACAATCGACGGGGTAGTAAGCTTAGATCTGTAAGCATGTGCATAGTCTCGGATAGACCAGTAAAGGAATGGAGGGGAGTCATGGTTCCAATGCTGAGAAGGATCGTATGAGGTGAGACACTCCAATGCTGAACTAACACGATGTGTGGAATCCTTGTCTTCATCAATAACCACTACACCAGGTTCCGGGTCTGCGATATTCACATTTGCATGCTAGAATAATCAAAGACAACTACACCCTAAATCTTAGAATTACCAGCAGTTTATTTTCCTAGGAAAAGTGCAGAGAGTTGGGGGGTTTCAGGGATGTATACAGATGTACGGTAACTTTTCATCCCCGAATTATGGTACCCCTTTACCACGGAATGCTATGTGTCATCTGTTGCGTTGTTATTTGAAGGGAAAAAGAACGGAGTTGTGATCACCTTGAGGTGGGAACTCCGGCCGAAACATGGGGGTTTCAGGAATCACAGTATTCCGCAGCAGCTGGGCAGAGAAAGCCTGATCATTTAGGGCGAAAGGCGAAAGGCGAAAGGCGAAAGCAGAAAGATTAGGGTGCTACCACGTGCTATGTACCTGATTAAAGTTATTCTGCCGCTTCAAAGCGGACAGAATGATGGACCTGAGAACTGGAGCTTCAACCAACCATGCAAAGAGCTTCAGCGCGAGTCCCGTCAGGTGAGGAGCTGATCATCAATTGAGAAACACCAAGAACTGAGTTGATGGTATTTTTGAAAAGAAGCTGGAAGGGAATTGATGCCGGTTGATACTTGACAGAAAAGGTAATCAGGAAAAAGAGTGGAGGAGCGAAGCGACCTTTGGTGAGTTGGGGTTGATACTTGACAGAAGAGATGTCAACCTCCTCCACCGGCAACATCACGCGCTTCTTTCCCATCTCGATTCTCTCTCGCTGGCCGACGACGACGACCAGAAGCTAGTCTGTCCTCGTCATCCCATCATCGGATCATATCAGATTTGTCAAAAAGAAGGGGGGGAGAAAATGTAACATTTAAAAAAAATAATAACAAGCTAGGTAGGTTAGCTGATAAAATAAATACAAAACAAATTAAAACGGAAATAACAAATAAATTATACTTGCAATTCGAACTCCACCTGTCTAGGGTGTTGTCGCTCTTGCCTGGTCACCGGATGGTAGAAGAAGATGATGACAGATAATGATGATGATGATGCGTTGGGAACTGAATATGATCAATTGAACAGAGTCGTCGCCAGCTAGGGTGCCAAATCTCGAATCAAGCGAAAAAATGGAAGTCGAGAGTCCACGGGCCAAAAAAAAATTTCTTCTTCTTCCCCCTTTCCTCTGCAGCGCAACCGGGACCAACGCACCCAACGGCAGGTAGGGATTAATGAACGAAATGATATATAATTTATAAAGCAAAAAACAGAGAGTGAAATCGAGAGGTAGGAGGAGCTGATCAGCTAATAGTTGCTCAGCGACTCGCTGGGTCCTCCCGTACTCCGCTATGGTTGACAACAACAATAGGACGAAAATAATATTTTCATAAGCATCAAGATTGTGCCGGCATTTTTAATAAACTAGAGGTTATGTACGTGCACTGCAATGTAAGTGGCAAAATATCGTGATTAACTATTTTTTGTTTATTTCTTTACTAAATTTTGTTCCTCGGATATACTTTGATAATTTTTGCTCACTTTGATCAAGTGTTTTTGGTTTATTTTCTTACAAAAATTTGTTCCTCGGCTATTCTTTAATTATTCATTTATTTGATGTTTGTTTGAATAGGCTACACACAATTTAAATTTTTATGTTGATAATTGAATTGTCATGAGATAAATATAATCTAAATCCAATTTAAATTTTCATGTCATTTGGATCGACATGAAACCGAGCTTGAGTTGAGAAAGTATAGCGTTATAAAAGTGAAAAACACTTAAGGCAACAAGCCAAGATGATTGATATTTGGCTAAAATGTCAGAAAATAGTTAATGAAAAAAATCATAAACTAAAGATTAATGTTAACTCTTAATATACTTTTATATGATAAAAGCATCCACATAAGCATATGAAAGCACTAAAAAGAGTTTATAAAAAACCCTTCTAAAGATTCCTAATTTTCCTAAAAAAATTAAACTATTCTATAATAATTCAGAAAACATTATCTTTTGTTCCCTCTATTTTATTTTTTATTGAGCCGATATCCATCATTCTTCATCTTTATCTTTTTTCTGTGCAATTCTAGAGTAGTGTCATTATCGTCTACATCGACTGCGATATGAGGCTGAGCCTATTATCTTTCATTTGACTCATTCATCTTTTGTCTTCTCCTCTAAATTCACAAAGAAGTTGAATATATTTTTGATGTTCAACATAAACTTCTGATAATACAGACTTTGATATTTTCCTATTTCAACGAGAATAAATGTTAATTTCATATATAATAAAAAAATTTGAGCTTTTAATTTATTACTTAAATAAGGTTAGGAGTTACCTCTTTTTTTATTGCAATGAATTCTTCTGTTGTGCATCCAATAAGAAATTCTACTATGTTAATAATGTTACATTTGCTCTGTTTATATCATTTTCCATGAGGATCTAAACTAAATACATACATTTTTCGTTGTCAATTTGCTTTAGATTATAGTATTAATATTTAATTTTGATATATTTATTTCATGAAGAAGGGATATCACTTAACTTTGGTACTCCGTCATTGACGGTTCTACAATATTTATCATTTGGACACTTATTATTAATATCTATATCCACCTTCTTATTGCAGTCTTTGCAAACATAGAACCACGGCTCAAATATATTATAGATCATAGTTATCTTTGCCTTAAAGGTGTAATAGTGTGTTTGTATATTGGTAAATTATTATTAGGTTTGATTGTATGAATTTTAGAGTAGGTTTCCTAAGATCATACCTCTTTCGAGTGTTGTGATGGTTGTATATATCAATAATTTGAATTTCTGCTTCATTTATAAAGAGTTTTAATGGAAATGCTTTGGTCTTGGCAGCGAAAGAGCGATGCATATTAGCTTTAAAATGTAATTTTATTATTACTGTGTTATATGGATGTTTGATTAGTTTACCTACTATTCTCTTATTTCTTTAGTAAATTGTATTTTTTGGTTGATATATACTATTGATGCAATTTATGATGACATGCATATCTCCTCTATAAATTTGAGATGGATATATATAAGGTGAATTTTATATTTAATGGACTTTAATAAGGACTTTAGTAATGAAATATGTTACCTTCATTAAGAGATCTTGAAATCTAATAGTGTTATTACGTCATTATCTTTGATCATGTCTTTAAGAATTGATCCTCCGTTAGTAGTCATATCCCTAAATAAAGTCACACGTAGGGTCGTGACATTATATAGGAAAAATAAAAAGGGCGATTTTATATTTTTTGCTTACACAGAGTCATGACATAGTAATTTTTATTTTATCTTCCATGAAGAATGTTTCTTTGATTGGGACAAAGTTGTTAAATACATTCTTCAGGAGGAATTCAGTCGGGGCTTCTTTGATAGATATGACTTATGTTAGTATCAATTGAAGTGATTCATGGACATTTCGAATTCCATTTGAAATGAAATGCTTGATTCTTTTGAAGGATATCTCTGAATTTTCTAATAGTTCTTCATACATAATTTTTTGTATTTTTTTGCCCTATAAATATTATTATCATTGTTATGGTGTTCACTCACCCAAGATATGGATATTTGCAAAATGATACAATGAGAGTCCTAGCAAAACAAACTCAACCCTTTGACCAACTCCCACAGTCGTCTCTCGGCCTTAGGGCAAGGAGATCCCTAGTTAACTCTCAAAAGTTCTAGGCATTTGATTCCTTAATCAAATTACAAGCCCTTGGCTCTTTATCAAACCCAAGGCACAATCACAACGGACTCGACCCCCCACCGACTCATCAAGTCGACTCTCTGGTGTCGACACCAAAGGCGAAATTGGTCGACACGAGAGATCCTAACCTCCCGTACGAGTCGGCATCTTTATATCGACTCAAGAGACGGTTATTAGCTGAGACGAGACGACATTCAACTAGTCGGGTAGGCCAATACTCCTGAGTCGACGCTAAAGGCGGTGTCGGTCGACACTATCATCAATGACGATCCTACTTAGGGCATTCGACCACTCACTAAGTAATTCTCAGAAACAACTGGAGGGACATCCCCTGCTACCAATTAAATTAAGAATTCGATCCTATAAGCATCAAAAAATGCTTATAGATATCCAAACATAGCTCAAGATAAAGAGAAGACGATGATGGTCGAGGGGATCATCCAAAGCCAGAAGAGGCAAAGAAATAAGTGAAACAACACAGAAGAATAACATGAAGAGTTGCATACTGACGCGCGTAGGCACGGCAGTCATTACTGACGCGCGTAGGCACGGCAGTCATTACTGACGCGCGTATGCATAGCAGTGACCACTGACGCGCGTAGGCGCGACAGTGGAACGTGGCGCGCATCTTCTTAGGGTGTCTTCTTATGATTTGTTGACGGTTTTAGCATCTTCTGAGGGTCTACGTGGCATCATAACAAAAGGAGAATGTGCACTAACATGGAAGGGTAGTTACACACCGACAAAATGGCATTTCGTAGACCTAAAGTCATGAGAGAACGGTTACAAACATGGCTGAACGTGGCTGAAACTGCCTCTTTAGCCGCGGCAACAGAGACTGACGCGCTAAAGGAGCAGAGACTGACACGCTAAAGACCGTGGCAGTGGCGACTGACGCGCCCAAAGAGAGTGTAGTTGGTCAATTATTTTGCTTCTATTTCAATAGTTATGGACCCCTATCCCTATAAATATCTCCCTATACACGAAAAAAGGACAGAGAGCAGAATTAGAGCATAGAAGCTTGAGCTTTTGGTGATTTTGAGTAAGAGAGAGAGTCTTCATCTTTCAAAAACACTTTTAAGAAGTTTTTGGTGATTCCTAGAGATCTAAGCTCAAACTTGATCTTTGGAAGAGTGAACATCTTACATTGATAAGATATTCGCTTAAGGTTCTTATTTCGATAAACGAAAAAGAATATTCAAAAGCCTTCACGGTTCAATCAGAATCTTGTGAATCGGTGGTCCACGGGTTAACGTACCCCGGGCACAGGCAAAGTCCCCACGAAAGCAGGAGTTGATAAAAGATTCCTGTGCTATTTTCTAGAGAGTTGTAATTTGCTTATTTTGTCGTGTAATTCATCGTAAGCAATTGAAGTTTTAATGGATTCCATTTTAAAATCAACTTTCGACGAAAACAGACCCTAGCTCCAAGCCCCTATCCCAGAGCATATGTCGAAATCTCCGTCCACCTTGGACAAGTCTTATATAGATTTTGGCCTAATAGGTCTCCATGACTTGTCAACTCAATTACTTCCCGAAGAATGCAGAGACACACTCTCCCATGCCGAAGTGATTTTTCCTCCAGTCGCCAGCCAACAACTGTAAAGCGAGGGATGATTCAGTATGCCCATGTGCCTTCTGCTACGCTATCAATCACTTCCCAAAAAAATACGGAGACACCCTCTCCCGTGACTAAGGATTGCCCCTCCAGTCGCCAGTCAACACATGTAAATAAAAGGATGACTCACATTCTAGCTCACACTAGGTCACTGCCATTAGCATGGCCGAAGTGGCCAATCTACCATGGACGTCCTCTTTATATACAAGTGCAATTCACCATAGAGAGATAGAGAGAGATTCGCAATCTAAAACCCTCAAGAACACGCACTACACAAAAACAAGAACACATAGTTCTGCCACCCTACTCAAGCTCAAGTTCTTCAACTGACTTGATCGTCGAAGGTATCACGGGAAACTTATCCCCGCCCTCTTACGACTATTTGTGTGCAGATTTCCCAATCATCCTAAGTCCAAACTCAGGCATAAAGTCGAAGAAGAAAGCGGCCTCTTGCAAACTCTGTGACTTTATCTGGTTGTGTGATATTTAACATCAACAACCATTAGAGATCAATATTTATAAATCACAATCAACTAATACTAAGTTATTATATTATAGTCTTTTATTAATTTTTTGCGATATAGTCTTCTATCAGTTGATGTTGTATTGATCACATAATCAAATGTATTCGTTGTTAGATAAGGTTGTTAAGTATTGATGAGAGACCGTTTTATTTCCCGACTTTATATCTGGTTCTGAATATGGTAGCTAAAAAATCTGTACAAGTAGAAACTTATAAGAGGATGGGGTTTGGATCCCCCGTGGTTCCTCCGACAATCAAGTCAGTTGATGAACTTGAGTGAGGAAAATGAAGAACAGTGTGTTCTTATGTGTGCAGTATGTCTGCTTAAAGATCAAATTAAAAAAATCATCTCTCGTAAGTTAGAATAGTACCTCTATTTATACTAAAGGTATAAGGGTAGATCGGTCACTTCG